AATTGGATTAAAAAATTACACAAAAAATAAGGAATTTCAAATAGTTAATTTGATACTAATATCGATATATTTTTGTCAAATTTTTATGATATCGTCAAACATATATTTTATTCAAAAATAAAAACATCATCGCTTTCTCAAAATCACCTAATGTCATATTATAACATCAACTGAGATAAAAAATAAAATAAAATATTAAAATCACGATGTACCTCGCTGCATTGCGCGAGTACACTTCTAGTATTGTAAAAACGAGATCATATTAAAATTAGTACACTGTAAAAACGAGATTATATTAAAATTAATACATTCTAAAGACGATATCATATAAAAATTAATACATTGTAAAAATGAGATCATATAAAAAATAAAATAAGTAAACTTACCATAATGTAGACGATTAAATATCGGTAATGGAGATTGTATTAGGTAATGATGATTGTAGTAAGGTAATGAAGATTGAAGTGTTGTTAATATGAAATTTGGATTGTTTATATTGTGGGGTTGAGGAGGAAAAAGATAAAATTGAATAGTGTTATATTGGGAAGAAACAAAATAAATATTATTATATTGCGAAGGAGCAAAATAAATAGTGTTGTATTGGAAATGAGCAAAATAAATAGTGTTGTATTGGAAAAGAGCAAAATAAATAGTGTTGTATCGGGAATGAACGAAAATGGAAAAAAATTAAAAAATCGGCCGGGAGGTAGGCCCCTTACACACAGCGCCCTAGCCGATGCTTAAGGGTGTTGAAAGGTGGTCAAAAGGCGGATCTCATCAGTCAGGGGGCTGCCACATATTTTAAAATATTTTGGGTTATTCTTGTCAGCTTTCCGTCATTTTTATCCACATTATTCTTTTGGTCCATTTTTGTTCATTGTATTTTTTAGTTGTTTTTATAGTTATGTCTAGGGATGTTCATCTGTTGATATCTATTGAATTTGAAGGAAACCAAACCGATCTAATCCAATTAAGATTGGGCAACCAATTCAATCCAATTCAATCCAGTGGATGATTGGATCGGTTCGTTGCAATCCATTGGATATCTATGGGATTGGATCGATCCAATCATCAATTGGATATTCGATTTTGTCAACCGATCCAAATTCAATTCAATCCAATCCAATCCAGTCCAGTCCAATGGATGATTGAATCAGTTCTTTTCAACCCATTGGATATCTACTGGATCGGATTGGATCCATTCAATGTAAATTGAATGGGATCGGATCCATCCTACATCCAATGAATGATCGGATCGGATTGGATTAGATCTATCCGACAAAAGTTCCACAAGTCTGCAGCAACTAAATCCATTTTCATTTATCCATCTTCAATCAAGTGACACAAGTTAAAGGAATGAAACCATGATTGAATAGTTCAAAAAATCAGAAGTCATCAAACCCCAAGAAGGAAGAAACCATCAATAATATTCAACACATATTTTGAAGCCATTTCAAACATTAAACTAAATATTGAACATTTTTAAACTTTCTCGACTTATTGAACACTGAAATAATCGGGGGGAAATTCACCATTTTAGGCTAGAAGCAAATCTAAACAAATACTTACAAGCTTGTAGGATAATCCGTTTTGAGATTTAGAATCATAAAGGACCAAATCGAGGACGAGATCAAGCACCAGATGTAGGACGAGATTGAGGAAAATAGGAAGTCTTGTGGATGAAGGATCTGTGATTTGGATGAAGTTTGGATTATGGAAGTCTTATGGTGGTTGGCAAATATGAAGGAGACGAGAACTCACTATCCAGTGAAGAGATTATGGTGCCGTTTGATTCGCAAAATGTTTTTGAATGAAATGAAATTTGTTAAAGGAACTTGACTTTAAAAGAATTGGAATGGAATGTTGTCAAATTTGACCACTTGTTCGGTTAACATACATTGGAATGGAATCTATTAAGGAATTGGAAAATGTATGTTTGGTTCACATAATGTAACTTTAGAATTGAAATGAAATATTAGTAAATGATCAAAATGTCCTTTTTGAAAATTTTAATTTTTTTGAAACTAAAAATAATTTAATATGTAAAACAATATAAAATACACAACCTAAATATAACCATAAACCAAATGATGTTACTAAATCAACGATGGTCCCGGTGGTTCAGATCGATGGTAGTCCGCAATGGTTTAGATGACGGTGGTTGGCAGTTGTTCAAATCGATGGTGGTCCGTGGTGGTTCAGATGGAGGTGGTCACTGGTGGTTCTGATGGACGGTTGTTTAGATTGGCGGTGGCGACGGTGGTTGTTCAAATCGTTGGTGGTCGGTGGTGTCCGACGGTTATTCAGATCTGTGGTAGTCGTCGGTGGTCGGCAATGGTTCAGGTCAGTAGTGGTCCATGGTGCTTCAGGTGGTGGTGGTCGGATGTGGTTCAGATCGGCGGTGGTTCATATTGGTGGTTGCTCATATTAGTCATGGTCGGTTGTGGTTCAGATCGGTGGTGGCTGGTGGTGATTTAGATGGGTAGTAGTTGGCGGTGGTTCAAATCTATGGTGGTCCATAGTAGTTCAGATGGCGATGGTCGACATTGATTCAGATCGGTGGTGGTCCATGGTAGTTCATATGGCGTTGATTGGTGGTGGTTCAGATCGACAGTGGATCAGATCGACAGTGGCCGGCGGTGCTTCAGATTGGTGGTTCAAACCGGTGGTGGTCGACGGTGGTTTAGATCAATGGCTGTTTTGATCGGTGGTGGTCGACGGTGGTTCAGATCGATGGTAGTCGGCGGTGGTTCAGATGGCGGTGGTCGACGGTGGTCGAAGGTGATTCAGATCGACGGTGGTCGAAGGTGGTCGACGATGGTTATATTGGGTTTTATGAGATTAGGGTATATTGTTAAGGGCATATTTGTTACTATGAGAATAGATAATTTCATTCCATGAAAATACCATGTAGTTGCTAAAAAATGTTAAATTCCTTTATTTGTGGAATTTGTAGGATCTTGAAAATTACTTTCGTGAAAAAAAAATGAACCAAACGAGAAATAAAATTTGATCAATGGAATTCAACATTCCAATTCCATCAGATTTCTTCAGAATTTACGAACCAAACACCTCCTAAAAGAATATGATATTAGGATTTTGTTTTTTTATTTTTCAATTTAACTTTTTAGTTTACAAAATATATTTTGATTTTCGAATTTTAAAAATATATGTTGTTTTTTTTTTCAATTTTTAATTTGTATATATTAAATTAATTATTAATTGGATAGATTATTGGATGATAATTGTATTGATTGTTGGATGATGATCGGATGGATAAGCGGATTGGGTCGGTTCTGGATTACCATCCAAGAACATACCGTTGAATATTGAAATTTTAAATTCGATCTAATCAAATTATAATTGGATATCTAATTATTGTCAGTAAGTACTAATTGGATCGGTTGATTTTCTGCACACTTGTATTATGCCTTAAGTCTTATAGCATCTTCAGTATATTCTTTAAAATCTAGAGTTATCTGAATTATCAAATTTGTTCTCATCTAATGAAATACTATTGGATCAAAAGATAAAGGTATTGTTCAGGAAAGGATGACTTTTTCCGAATGAAATGCAAATTGGAGTCATGGAATAAGAGAAGGATTTCCAATTCCTTAGCCGGAAAGATATGTAATCGTAAAAGGCGAAGGAATAATGGAATACCAACAGACGTCTTTTGTTGAATTCACTTTATCCGACAATACCCGCTTGGGAACATCAGTGTCAAAGTCACTAACTGAGTAAGTTGTCAATCCCTAAAATGGGCTATGTAATGTTATGTACTTTATCTGTTGGGTTAGTCATTAACTAGAGGTTTATAGCCTACCTTGTAGAGCGGGTTGGATATCCAGGTTAATAAAAAAAATACTCATAGCAAGACTACGACATTTTTCAAGATAGGATTTATGCCGCAAATATATATGTCATATATATATATATATATATATATATATATATATATCATAGGTTCGTTTGAGAAGCATCAAATATATTAGAAATATAGAAGTGGTCCTAGCTCTTCCACTAAACACTTGACATCAAAGATTTGAGCGACTGATTGTGTAGCATCGAATAATTCGGTCACATGATAACTATGCGGAAATAAAGTGGTAGTTTCGTAATTTTTACAAATAGGCAGCAAACAAATTATAATATATGCATGTCACATATGAACTATATGTGCATATGTGAACCCGTGTGATTCATATACGAACTATTTAATCGATTCACACATGAACTATATGTGCATGTTTGAAACGGTATGATTCACATATGAACTATTTAACTGATTCACATATGAAATCACTGATTCTCATGCGATATCAATTGTTTTCATTGTCATGTGCATATATGAACCTGAATGATTCACAAATTAATCTTATATTCACATGTAGCATTATAGTTTTAGGATCAAAATCAACATCTTGCTCAAGATCGCTTTTGGATTTGGATTCATATTGAAGGAATACGAGATTTAATCAAGAAAGAATTAAGAAATTTAATAATATAATAACCCATAATTGTGATATATGATCAAGAAAGAATCAAGAGAAAAATCGATGATATAATTATCATAAAACCGGATTTGATTTGTTAGAATCGTTAAGAAAATCGAGATCATATGTTTGTGTCGTCGACCAGACTTCTGTTGCTGTCATCGAAGATGAGCATGTATTGATCATATATCGTAGATGCTTTCTACTAATTACCATATTATCCTTCATTCAATAAAATTATATTATATATTGACTCCAAGAACTTGGGAGATACTTGATTTTTCTTATATATAGTTTTAGTTCTATAATATAATTTGTAAAATATATGTAAAAACTTATTAATTCATATTCGAACTTGATTCACATCATTTACATCCATAACTGTAACTCTTCAAGTTGAAAGTTGTAGACTGGTCCAATAAAGCTATAAGAACTTTGATAAAAGTTATTGATATAACACAAGTTAAGCTTATAAGATGCTCAAATTTTTCGTTACCCATTAATATAAAATTGGGTTTAAGTTGTCACAAAATATATCCAAATTCAGTATAAAAAACCACAAAAAATAGCAATATAAGAAATATAACAAGGGAAAAAACAGACTATTCATTTCTAAAAACAAAATAAAAAACAAGGATGTGATGTCAATGGGTTCCTTCTCCCGTGACACCTTTCTTTCTTGAAATATAAATCGATTCAACCAGTTTGATTAATATTATCAGTTATCATACATATGAATTTATACGATAACTGTGTTGGTAAAGAAACATATATTGGTTTTATCATTCTATGAAAGACGCATAGTTATCATTTTTTGTTGTGGTTCATTACAAATTTTAAAATTTTATTTGATTTATGTGTGTGTGATTGTGATTTTAACTGTAAATTTAGGGTTTGCTTCTTAACAGTTTAATAAGTTTAATGGAACTCATACTTTATTCGGTCAGCTATATATGATTGTTTGATAGTGGCTTAATGACATAGAAAATAATTTATTCAATAAGTTTTTAGAGAGAACTTCATGCAAAAAGTCAAGTCCCTTTTCAAACGTGTATCTCATAATTAAAAAAGTACATTCTTTCCACTTATGAAAAACTCTTTCAAACAATAGCTTTTATAATTTATCAGACAGATTAATCCACACACAAAAATTTGTTATAATTGAGATATTTATAAAAGATGATAAAACTTCATTTATTATAATTAATGTCTTAAATTAGAGCATTTAGAGTAATGAAACCTCTAAAAACCTCACTTGTCATATTTTTTCCATAATAGAACTCCACAACTCTAATTATATTTATAGATTATTATATAAATTTAATATATATATATATATATATATATATATATTAGAAAAATGTAAAGAAAATTAAAATTAAGATTAAAATATAATTTATTAATTTTCTTTTTTCTATATTAACTTTAATTTATTAATTTATATATTTTGTTAACATATTCAAAAAATAATTAAAACATAGGAGGTGTTTGAGATTGCTTATAAAAACAACTTATTACTTATTCTGGTGTGACATCGGTAATAAGTATTTTTGAGTGCTTGGATAAACAATTTATACCGGTACCAAACCGGTAATAAAGAGTTTTTAAAGAAGTTAAACTTTTCTAACTTATAATAAATTGATAAGTGTTTTTGTAGAAAAACATAAGCTGTTTCAAATTAGCAATCCCAAACACCCTCATAAATATAACTTTATAGTATAATTAAAAAAAGTGTAAAATCCATAAAAATATTAATCTTTATAAAAAGTAACACTAAATAATAATAGTAATACTAGTTGTGTACCCGCGCAATGCGGCGGAAACCATGAATTTTAACGATTTTGAAGTTCCACTGGTTTTATAAGATAAGATTTAACGATGATATATGTTACACTTGGTCTTTACATATTAATACAATTTGAATAAAGAAGAGTTATGGTTTCAATTACAGACTATCGATGCAAAACATTGTATGACAGTTTAAAATCCAATATATTTAAAATCCAACATATTTAAACGACTCCACAAATGTATTCAATTTACACCAAGAGCAAAGAACCAATAAACTTGAGTTTTAAGATAAACACTCAAAATCAATAAAGAAAACTACAAATTTGACAGATCATAAGCCATGAAAAGACAAAAAAAGATGGGTTTTAGAATGAAATTTCAACTGCTTACCCTCTTTCTTGTCCAGAAACTCAGATTAAGATTGAATTAATACATGTATATATATATATATTTCAAAAAAACCCAAGAACATATTAATTCAAAACATATTATACAGTGCAATTTGGACAGCCTAACCCCAAAATATATAGTATATATATAAATAAACAACTATAAAAGTATAAATCGTAAATATTAAAAATATTTTTTCACAGTATATATAATATATAATAATATAATTAAGTCAAAAAGTATTCAATATTGGACTCATTTCGAAGGTATTAACGAGACGATTATAATGGTGTAACTTGTTAAAATAAAAATGTATTTTTTAAACATGTTTTAATTGATATACGATCATGTATGTTAATTTGATAAAAGTTTAAAATGAAATATTTAAAAGTAAATGACGTAAATTAATTAATTAATTAATTAATTATAGAGGTATAAAGTGTAAATTTAAAATTATAATTTTTAAAAAAATCGGTTGTGAGAGGGTGAGTGTATGTGAGGGGTGAGGGGGTGAAAAAGTGAGTATAAAAGGTATTTTGGTCATTTAGAATTTTAAGACTTTAAGATTTTTGCTAAATTTGTTTAATAAGATAATATAGATAAATCACTCGTAATCTCGATTCTACCAAATATGTTCAACCAAGTAGAGCAGAGTTGAAAATGAACTTTATTTGAACGCACCTCGTGAAGATATTTTTGGAATTCATGAGTAGAAGCCTTGAAATATTTGTCTTGAACTGTCTACCTCTTCATGGATCCAATTGATCAACATGTCAGTTCTCTCCTTTCATCGACATTCACATTATTCAAAATTATGCATGTTTGTATAATATCACAATTATGATGGCCCTTTAATTATTGCCCAACGTGATTGAAACACTTCATATGCACGCTCAACATCATTTCTGGCACCATTTTATTGTTGTTTGAACAACTTTTTTTTGCATCTTGTGGGCAAGAAAAATAACTTAAATATGACAGTATAATGAGATAATAAGAAATTTAATTCATCAATACAAAAACTTGTATAAAAATTTACAATAAACAAAATTAAAAAAAAATTGTTTTATAATAATTAATTTATATTGTTTTGTATCAATTTTAATTTGTATGTTTTATATATTTATTTAGAGAAAATGAAATGATTAAAATTTAATAAATAAAATAATAACAGAAAATGAATATATACATGAATATGATTTCTTATTTAAACATCTGAGTTATAATAAAAATATAAAATAATATTACAAAGACAACAAAATATTGTCTCATTCGACATGGACACTTGCTTCTTTGGCATATGGAATATGCTTACTGCACATAATATCTGGCATTAAATATTAATATATTATTTTAAAGTTAAATTATTTAATATTATTGACTTGATGAATTATTATATATATGTTATGTAAAAAAAATCACATGTGATTCACACAATTTTACTTACGATTTGAAAACGCGGCCATAGAGTTGGTTGCACACTTTTTAGCTGTTGATGTAAAATCACATATAATTTAATTGTTTTCATATTATCTTAAATAGTTGATATTTTCGTTTGATCCTCCCCCCTCCCTCTCTCTTTCTCTCTCTCTCTCTCTCTCTCTCTCTATATATATATATATATATATATATACATAGACACACGTATGTGTATGTATACATGATAGACTTCTTGTCTTAATTCTCATCTTAAAAGGCAAATTTGTTAAGAAAGATTTATGATAAACGAAGTCGATGACCAAAGTTTTCAATAAACCACCGAGACAAAAAGCGTGATCAACTTTAATAAAAATAATAAATAAATATATTATATTTAGTGTTAAAAATAATGTAATAAGTTGAAGATGAATTTTTTTTTTACGTTAAAAATTACGTTGAAATGGTCTAATTGTTTTAAATTGAAGTCGAGAAAACTCAAATAAAAACCGTCGACCTTGTATTTGTATGATAAACTAAAAAAGAAAACTATATTAATTTATTCATAAAAAAACAAAGATGGGTGGTCCTTTTCTTAAATCCAATTTAAGATAACAATAACATTCTAACTTATTTAAATTTATCCGCATATGGTTCTAAATAATGTGAGGCATGACGTGACAGTAAGGTCAAACTTTAAGTATTGGTAGTCATAGCAAGGTCATAACGTTTTTCAAGATGTAACTTATGACAACAAATTTCTATACCATATATATTATATATAAACATAAAGAAATGTTCATTTTGTGGTTTTCACTGTAAAATATCGGATAATACCTCGCATGGCTATCGAAAGATAGAGATGTATTTTCGTAATTTTTACAAATAGATAACAAATGGGTTCATATGTGAACCTGTATGATTCACATATGAACTATATGCTCATATGCAAACCCATTAATTAGTTCTTGTGTGGACAATTTAACTCATTCACATATGAATCCAGGGGTTCATATGTGAATCAATTAAATAATCCATATATGAATTAAACAGGTTTACATATGAATACATAGTTGATATGTGAATCACATGAGTTCACATATGAATCCGTTTGCCTTCTATTTATAAAAGTTACGAATCTACCCCTCTATTTTTCATATTGTTCACATCACACGAGTTCACATAAGTTATATTGGTTTCGTTCAATTTATTAATAGAGATTTGTAGGTATCACCAACTTCAATAATATTCAATATTTCAAAAAAAAAATGTCATCTTGTGACCAAAAATTTGTTCTGTACATTTATCAAAAAGTTCAATTTTTATCCATAAACAAGATCCAAATTAAGATATAAACACCATCATATGTCTTAATTTATACAAAGAGAAACCGCATAAGAAGCTTTACAGATTTAAATTTCTCTCCCTTCTTATTATGGAGAGGAACGACGCGAATCCCGGGTCTCAATTCCGATACGGGCAAACACGTTTGACCCGCAAAGTCATCTTTATCGACATCGTATTCTTGTACAACGATCTCAAGTAAAGCTAGCTCCGGGACTCTCAACGGGAAGGTGAATTCTTCGTTCCATATGGGCGTCCAATCATCTCCGATCACTCTCGTCCTCTTCTTCGCTACATCAACCGGCACTCCAACTATATACACCTAAAATTTCATCCCATTCTACTGTTAGATGTCGTTGTAAAGTGTCTTCCCTTTATACATGATACTTTTAAAAAATAATATCTTATAAAAAGAATAATGCACTACAACTAAATTGGATTTATAGGACGTCAAATATGTCTAAATATCATTATATACTATTTTTGTAACAATTGTCTCTTACATAATAAAGATGTTACAATAAGTTGATAGTACGCTTTTGGACGACCTAACAAGTTTTTAGGACATATTTAAAATAAAATATCTTATTAGTAATTTTATACGACATTATTTGAAGAAAAAAAATATCTAATAAGAACAAGTGTTATACAAAAACATGTGTTCACATGACACTTTATTTCAGAAATGTCCAAGTAGAACTTTTTAGAACGCCCAAAAATATTGTATAAACTTACTATAACATTTTTGCATAAGATACACAATTGTTTAGTCTTATAAGTAGTCTATTATTCATTCAGACATATTTGCCGTCCTGCAAAGCCGATTTTATTGTAGTAATAAGACGATGATTTAACTTTTGTATCTTATTGACTTGTCCAATGTCGTCGATAGAACTTGTTAGGTCGCCTAAAGGGTTGTTTGGTTGGTTTTCCATTAAGTCATTAGTTTGTCTATGTAGATTGGAAAGATTTTTGTTTGGGAGGGTTTTTCATGGATGGATGGAGCACTGGTTTTTATTTGGGAGGGCCAGGTTTAGAAAAAACTTGGTTTTCTGCATAAAACTCCCGCCTAAAAGCTTACAGAATAAGCCATTATCAAACAGTCATGTATAACTGACCGTATAAGCTATATGTCTCATATGTAAGCCCATTTTTGTTGTGGTTCTTGGTACTAACCTTTGCATAGAAATCTGGTGGTGAGAATGCATCAAAATGAGTCTGGCTGAAATCCAAACGCCATCCATCTCCCATATATACTTTCACCTGCAAAATCGGAATGTTGTTTATGTAGGTGTAAGGGAGGGGATCATGAAACTTGAAGATGACAAATCGATCAACGGTTTATTCGACCTTCAAAGTTGTCTTCACGGGTAATATCGCTTTCGGGTCAAATACTTCGCCATTAGGACCCTTGGTCATAAGAAACTCGGGCTTTTTAACATAACCACACCCTCCATTCGATCTGAACATCCCGTGCATCATCCAAAGTGATCTCCCATACCCCTAATTACCAAAAAAATGAGGCAAATGGCTCAAACACAAAACAAGAAACCAACAAAGCACCAACACATACCAAAGGGGTCAATTGGCCCAGCAATATCCAGATTACTAGTAGATCCTAAGACCCAACCTCGGTCAAGAGTTTCATCAAAAGTGAGGAGTATGTGTGAGTTTTGTCGTATATAAACAATATACATCCAAAAAAACGCCAACAAGTTCAACTTCACAACTCACCTGCATATTGAAGGCAACCATTTGAGCACCATGCATCCATGCCGTAAGCGGTCTAAAGTTTGTGGAGGTAACCCGTGTTCCCTTGGGGAACACCCGAAGAATATACTTTTGTGTGAATCTAGACGCAAATGAACCCTTGTTTAGTACTAAAGAATCAAACTGCTCTATTTTTCTACAGTTTAAACCTTGATGCTCTCTGTAATGAACCCTTGGTTAGTCTTTTTTAATGTAATTATGGTTTTTATTACAACAAAATGAGTTACCAAAGAGCCTTTGACCTAACGGTATAGTACGTATACAGGATTGGATGAGTCTTGCATAGCTGAGGTATGCAGGTGAAAGAATTGTGGAAGGTTTTAAGGTTTTTAATTTGACATGGGTAGTTTACCAATTTACCTGACTATATCAGTACCATAAAGACTTGCAGCTCTTTCAAGGGCTTGTTCACTCAAACTAAGTCGTTTAGCTTTCCCTGGTTCATCCATTAATGCCCTTCTTGTTCCCTTTTTCGGTTTAGATGCATGAATTGCAATGAGGTGCTTGTACTGCGGGGCCGCTTGCTGTCCAGATTTTTCGTATTCGATATCGTCGTCTTCATAGTCAACACCAAGGATTTCGGACAACCGTCGACTCCTGCTCGAGCTTGCTATCTCGTTCTCATTGTTTCTCTTGCTTGCACTGCAGCTCTCATCATCATCATCCTGATCACTGTTGCTCTGCTATTAAGAAACCAAATTGAAACAAACCAATCCACTTTAGAAAGAGTGATTAGCTTTTTCAACCATCTTACTTGGCTTCTTCATCACAAACAAACCATTCGTTTTGCAAAAACGCAAAAAAGAGAATAAGAACGAGCAAGTTTTCACAAATTATGGAAAGTAAATGCAAAAAAAAAAGCAAACCATTGTACACATATATTGGGAAGAAATGGTTCAAGTCTAGACGACGAGTGACTCTAACATGCCCCCTCCAATGGAAGCTAGATGCACCCAGATTGTCTTAGTGTCAAGAAGGGGCTAGATGGGTGAGGGGGGTAGAAGACTACAGATTGCCCCAAAGTATTGAGTCCCTAAAATGGTAGACCTTCGCTTTGATACCATGTGAGAATATGTGAAACCCCCAAATTAGTCTTCAAAATAGCCGAGGAGAGAAGAAAGGTTGCAACATATATTGAGGATAAATGGTCCAAGTCTGGAGCATGTGACATTCTGACGGTCCAAAATCATCCCATCTTGCAAAATTGTTGGTTTTTGCGACTTCACAAAAGAATGATGGTTTGTTTGCAATAAAAGATCAAGTATAATGGCTCAAAAGTTAACCACTCATTTTGGAGACAATCAAAACGATAAGTTGTTGTAAACTCACGCTGCGTTCGTCCCCCATGTACGACTCTTCTTCAGATGAATCTTTATCCAGAGACGAGCGTTCTTTGCGCGGATTCTTGGATCGAAGGTATTCTTTTGGAGGTTTTGTTGAAAGAATGATTTGATGTCTTAATGAATCAGGTGAAGGGAATTCATCTTTATCACTTGGCTTTGGGCAGTATAACATCTCCCCAAAAGTGTTTGTGACCATCTAAAAATCCATAAAAGCATGATTCAATCCTTAAAAATGGATTAAAATGTTCATAAACATCAAATGGAATTATGAAGCTAACCTCTGCAACCTTAGCCTGAAGATTTGGAGTAAGATGATCCTCTAAAGTGATAACAACAGGATACGAAGAATTTACAAAAGCATGCTCTTTAATGGACTTTAAACATTTGTGAAGTGTAACGGGAGTCGTCAGGGTCCTATTTTTCATCAAAAGTATGAACATGAAACCTTGTAAATCATAGACGTTATGTCAAAAACGAAACTTGTGTTTGGTATGTAGACGGGACTCGACATGACTGGATGGGCGATTTTGTTCCACTCATTTTGGGAGATAAAAAAGTGCATTTTGTCTCACTCAGTCTTATCCTTGTGTCAAACGTGACAAAAGTTCTATTAGTACTGTCATGTCTTGTTATACCAAGCACAACTAAAAAGTAAGAAAAGGGCATACATACCTGCCATGAAGTACTTGTATTCCATCTTTTGCATTATTAGGCCATAAATCAAGTTCTATTGCCCTAACACCTCTTTGAAGAGCCTTTATGATTGGTACTTCACTAGAATCACTGCTGAGTTGATTTCCAGTAAGGTATGAGTTATGACCAGTGTATATGAAATAATGTTGCAATGGAGCACTCATGTCATGGTGTACCTGAAATCATACACATTGTTACAAAAAACAGAACACCATACACATTGTTTGCATTTGAGGCATCGATACAACTCAACTATGATCATTAGTATGGCCATGTTCATGTCACAACTTTCAAATTTCTTGAGCAAACATTGCATTGTTCATCAAACTACACAGATCAACATCCATCAAACTATATGCATTAGTTGCAATCATTCCCTAACAATTTGCATACTTTTTCACTTAAACCATCAAGCAATTTTTGGTAAATTGAAGCTCCTGATAAGTGGGATTGACCTAAATTAGGGACATATAACCATTTCTAGCCATGAAAGCACCGATCTCAGTGTAATTTGGTAAATACTCAATGGTGGGTACTCGAAGAATCATTTCAACTCTAGAAATTACTCGAGATTCTGAACTTTCACCCTTGAAATTCCATGGCAGATGATACTAACATCAAATTGGGGGTGTCAAAATTTGAAACATAATCCTTATATCAATTGTGAAAAAATCAAGAGGAAAAGTATTGGAAAAATACCTTAGTTTGAATAGGGCCATTGAGGTCATCAAGTAGTAGATAATGGAAGAAATCGTGAATATTGAAAGCGTAGCGGGTCAAATGGGAGCGGGAATGGTTGAGAATCCGATCCATGATATCCTGGGCATCCTCCATCGTCGTCGATTCTTCTCCCTGAAACTCAATCAAGAAGCGTAAAAAAGTATCCGGCAACATCTCCGATTCGCCCATGGAATATGATTGAAAAACGTCGATCACGTCCGGCGGTGGACCCATTTCGCTGATTTTAAACTTGCGATTAAAACACCCAAACATTTTGTAATAATTATAGTTTCCCATGACATTTTTTCTTCTCCGATCACTTCGCTCTTCCTCCTGGAACATATGTGGGTTTGAAATGTATAAATCTTGTGCAGAATCTTTCGTGGGATGATATGAATTCTGGAGACGAAATCTGGAAAAAGCTTGACGAAGTGATTTGGGGATTGTTGAGGAGAGAGAGCGATGATTGTAGGGAATGGTTCTGCAATTTTGGGATTTTTTGAGGTTCGATTATTCGTTTGTTTGTTTGTTTTTCTTCATCAAATTGAAGCAATTGGATTACGGTATCACGTATATTTCCAAGTCTTTCATGCATGTCGAGATATAAAATTAAAAGTATAATTCAAGTTTGGTCCCTATACTTTAAAACTTGTATTTGATTTCTCATGTTTGTTAATTTATATCAGTTTTGGTCCTCTGTCTAATGGTCCCTAACTTTTTCTGTTAAATCCAGTTAAATAAGAAGTATTTTGGTCATTTTCACTATTGTCTTCTTTTTATACTAAAATTAAAAAAAATATTATATTTTAAATTTTAAAAAATAAAAAGAATAACCACTGCCTTTTGTTTTTTTTTTCTTTTCTATTTTTGTTTTATAATTTAAAATTAAAAAATATGATTTTTTTTTTCTAATTTTAATATAATGAAAATAAAAAAATAACAAAAATACTCCTCATTTAATTGGTCTTAATAATAACCGTAAGACAAAGAAACCAAAATCGTTAAAAATTGACAAACATAAATTTGGTCTAAAATCACAACTGATTATTTATAACAGTAAACTACAAATTTGGTCCCTGTGGTTTGTTAGTTAAAACATTTTTCGTTTCTATAGTTTTCAAATTACAATACGGTCATTATGGTTTGTAAAAACGCTCACATTTGGTCCCTCACTCTAATAGTCATTAAAAAAATCTGTTACAAAATTCTGGCTTGGTTGTCCGATGGTGAGGAAAACAACAACTTCGATGGTCAGGAAGAACATCTAAGGTGAGGAAGACGACGACTTTGATGTTGTTGATTGCTTATTTCAAACAACTTTATGTTTTTTTTAAATGCTTATCAACTTATATGGTGTTAAACCGTAGTTTTATAAAAAATGTTTGGATTAACTTATGGTTGTACTAAAACATAATAAATTGATAAACTGGATTTTAATATTTAACAAATTTTGCTTATACATGTAAAATGACCAAAAAAATACATACATATAATACCAAGTTAATTCTAATTTGGATTCCACTTTGCAAAACTTTTAAATTGGAGGAACTGGTACATGAAAAGGGGATCGAAATGGTCCATATGTGAGGAAGGAGGTGTGTGAATCTGATGAGAAGTTTATTAGGTATAGGGAAAGAAAAGGGTAAAAAAGTAAATTGTTTTCCACACCAAATAAGTTGAAATCTGATAAGTTAGAAATGAGTAACTTATCAAAAACTCATTATTACCAGTTTGGTATCATATAAACATTATTTTTTTTTCTTTCCCCATTCAAACACTAAAAACTGTTTATTACCGGTAACACATCTAAGTCAATAAGCAGTTTAAATAAACAATCTCAAACACCCCATATTATATATCTTTTTTAAAAACAAAAAGGACAGAAAAATGACAAAGAACTAAAATGCCCTCGTTTAACGGATCTTTTTAACTTTCGTTAGAAGGATGGACCAAACCCGAATATTTTTGTAAATCACAATGATCATATTATAATTTTGAAACTATAGGTTCAAAAAATGTTATAATTGACAAACCCTACATAGAGTCAGATCACTTTTTTCTTACTCTAGTCTATTTATAACAATGTGATGGAAGGAAGACCACATAACTACTGAAAATGTTTCCTTTTAAGTCCTTCAATTATAAAAATATCAAAGAAGTCCTTCAACTTAAATCTAATTTGGTTTTGTTTCATATGGGAGAAAAACGGTTACAATAAAGATGATTGGAGAAAGGGTAATGAAATCAATCATGGCAACTGAGAATGAGATTTTTTAAGGAAGAGAGTATTTCTAAAATAAATCTGATATTTTAAGGAAGATGGTTATACCTAAAAATATAAATTTGTTAACAAGTCATAAATATAACCTTTGGATGATTTGCAAAAGAATGAGTATCTCTGGCGCCGTTTACCAAACGCTTATCTGGGTAAGCACTTACCAAGTCGCGTTACCTCACCGGATGAATATGGTAAGGACCAAGAATCTTATCCGGTAAGAACGAGACAAGGACATAGAGTCTTACCCGGTAAGTGCGGGCGACAACTCTTACCACGGTAAGCACTTACCGGGTAAACTATCGCATACGATGCTGTTTTTGTGGACTAAAATCTTATCCGGTAAGTAAATAATAATGTTAAATTTTATGATAAGCACTTACCGGTCTCTCTCTCTCTCTCTCTCTCTCTATATATATATATATATATATAGGTTGGTTATTATACAACTCTTGACATTTATGCAACCAATACAACTCAATCTCAACCGTCCATTTCATTTGATTAATATGTGATTTTATAAAAGTTTTGATTATTTTCTAATATAAAGTATTGATCATAATTAATGAATCATATTCATCTTCCATTAATATTCAAATCATAATAAATGAACTCTCATTATTTCCATAAATATCTCAATTTATTGGGTTGTATTGGTTGTACAAATGCTATGGATTGTATTTGAAACAAATTATATATATATATATATATATATATAGATGAGCGTTCAAATAAAAACTTGCTCCATTTGTGTAAACCGTGTAAACCAATCTCATCTATCCATTTTCTTGATCAATGGTCAAGATTAGTTTACTTTATTTTAGGAAATTAAAAAAAAATATATATATATATATATATATTAAAAATTTATTTTATTTCAACAGTAGGGGCAAAAATGGTAAACAAAATTTAACATTTGGTAACATCCTTCTAGATATTAATGACACTATTTTCATTTTTTAAAGCAATATATTATTTTTTAACTTTAAATCACATCCATCAATAAAACATATAAAAAAATGAATATAACACACCATATTCAATTATATGGAGTGAATCGTTTTAAATTTTGAATTACATTATATGAACGAAATTGGTTTCACCATTAAAATGTTTCGGTTCACATAATTTATTTGCAACAAGACCCAGTTTCACGTTCATGAAACTTGTTTCATTTTCTTTTTCATAATTTATTTTCAAAATGCACCGGTTTCATTTTCCTTTTCATCAACAAAATGGATCAACTACACCATCAATGCAACGGTTTCACCATAAAAATGTTTTGGTTCACCTAATTTATTTGCAACATGAACCGGTTTCACGTTCATGAAACCTGTTTCATTTTCTTTTTTATAATTTTTTTCAAATTGCACCGGTTTCATTTTGCTTCTCATAAAAAAAAGATTAACTACACCATCAATGCAACGRGTTCACCATAAAAATGTTTCGGTTCACCTAATTTCTTTGCAACATGAACCGGTTTCACGTTCATGAAACTTGTTTCATTTTGTGGATTTTTTTTGTTCATCTACATTTTGATGATTTCATTCTATAATTCAATTGTTTCATCAAGACACATTTCTTGATTATAACTCATGACAATATATGAAATCCAAATTTTTAATATTTTAATATAATTAAATATTTAAATGTTACAATTTATATAATTTCTTTTATTACGTTTCCTTAATTAAGATTTATTAATAACTTTCATATTTAATAGAAAATATTGTAAATGACCGAAATACCCTTATTGATTAAATTTAATTAGGAAAAAAGAATTTTCATATTGGTCGAAATTGGTTTACACGGTTTCTTAAAAATGCACGGTTTTCATTTGAACGTGTCCCTATATATATATATATATATATATATATATATATATATATATATGGGATAGATACAATGCAAACCAAACTATTTGTTCAAATTATGAAAACCGTCGATTTCATTATTTATTTTAGTGAAAATTTTTCATGAAATTGTTTAATAAGATGAAATTGTTTCAAATAATTCATTTCATGATGAAAATGTTTTATATATTTTTGTTTTTTATACAAAAATTAAATTATTTCATGTATTTCTCATTTTAATGAAATTTGTTTATTAAAATTAATAGAATGAATGTCTATAATTGTTTGAAATGAATTATTTGAAACAATTTCATTATATTAAACAATTTCATGAAATTTTTTCACTAAAATAATCAATAAAATCGACGATTTTCACGGTTTGTACAAATGACTTAGTTTATAAAATATCCCCCTCCCACACACACACACACACACACACACACATATATATATATAAGAGAGATCAAATGCAAACCATTTATACAAATCGTACAAATGCGATTTAACTAGACATAATTTTTTTTACTTTTTTTTTAATCATGAAGGTTAATTTTTTGTGTGTGCAGGATGTTAATTATATACATTATCATTTTCATATATTAATCTTAGAAAACAAATTTTATCAAAATGAGAAATACATGAAATAGTTTCATTTTTAAATAGAAACAAAAATACGTAAAACAATTTCATCAAGAAAAGAATTATATGAAACAATTATTTGATATGATGAAATTGTTTCAAATAATTTTTTTTCCTGATGAAATCGTTTCATATATTTTTGTTTCATCTATTTCTCACTTTGATGAAATTTGTTTTCTAACATGAATATAATGAATATGATAATGTCCACAATTAACGCCATCTACAATAAAAATGATTAATCAATCCTCAAAATTAAAAAAAATTAAAAAAAATACAAATAACCCTCTCCTATATATTTATACTACATTAATAAGCATTCACACTAAACTCTTAAAGCATGAGGTATAACTTTTTTAAGCATGAACTTTGAAAAACTATGAATAACTTAACAAATGTTTTTTTATATACGGAAAATGTAACAAATAAACTCATACAACCTTTTCATTTTTTATGAATTTTGAATCCTTGACCTCTTAGAAAACTAAAGGAAGTTATTGAATAGAGGTTCATACTCTCTTCCTCCCTGTTTTCAGTTGCGGTTCTACCAGAAACTTCATCTCCTTGTTTGTTCATTATATTTTTAACCGCACCTCCACAACCAAATGTGGGTGGGTTCAGAGGTTTCTTTCATCGATCACACACACTTTTCATGAATCAAGTGTCTTTGCTACCGACGTATCGAAAGAAGATGTGTACAATTTTAGGTCAGACCGTTCTATTTTCTCCATTCTTCAACCTGCATAATCCTTGAATCAGTACTAGTTCTTTTGTAAACTTGATTGCATATGAACTTCAAATTCCTTCATATTTGATTCTACTCTTTTTCTGGTAGAGAGATGTGTGGGTAAATAAGAATTATTGTTGGTTTGTTTATAACATAAGTTAAATATGTATATACATTAAGAATTGTTTCTCCTGCCACACTCAATTTGTCGTTACTCAATTAGGTCTGTAGAAATGCTGTCATAATGAACATGTTTCCAAGTCAATCAGGTATAGCATACTGTTAACCTAAATCTTCTTTACTTTCAATTACCATTTGCTTAATTAGATCTTTCAATTACTACTTCCTTTGAGGTCTCGCTGTTTGCAGACCATGATCAAGTCTTAACCCAATTGATGTTCCGAGATCTTGGTTGTGGAATTTACCAAGAAGAACACTGTATTACTACATGGAAATTTTTATAACAAAAGATGTTCAATACTGCTTTTGGAGAGGTATGAAAAGATATAGATCCCTATTACGTGCACTAAAGGGTGTTAAAGTCTTAAAATACTAAATGATCAAAATACCCATTATACTCACTTTTTTTATTTTTTCACTTTTTCACCCCCTCCTCTCCTCATATATACTCACCATCTCACAACCGATTTTTTTTTAAATTATAATTTTAAATTTATATTTTATACTCCTATAACTAATTAATTAATTTACTTTACGTCATTTACTTTTAAATGTTTAATTTTAAACTTTTATCAAATTAACATATATAATCGTATATCAATTAAAACATGTTTAAAAAATACATTTTTATTTTAACAAGTTACACCATTATAACCATCTTGTTAATACATTTGAAATGAGTCCAATATTGAATAGTTTTTGACTTAATTATATTATTATATATTATATATACTGTAAAAAAATATTTTTAATATTTACGATTTATATTTTTATAGTTATTTATTTATATATATACTATATATTTTGGGGTTGGGTTGTCCAAATTGCATTGTATAATATATTTTAAATTAATACGTTCTTGGGTTTTTTTGAAATATATATACATGTATTAATTCAACCTTAATATGAGTTTTTGGACAAGAAAAGAGAGTAAACAGTTGGAATTTCATTCTAAAACCCATCTTTTTTTGTCTTTTCATGTCTTATGATCTGTCAAATTTGTAGTTTTCTTTATTGGTTTTGAGTATTTATCTTAAAACTCAAGTTTCTTGGTTCTTTGCTCTTGGTGTAAATCGAAYACATTTGTGGAGTCGTTTAAATATGTTGGATTTTAAATATATTAGATTTTAAACTGTCATACAAATTGTAAAATATTCTCTTATAAAACCACGTGGAACTTCAAAATCGTTAAAATTCATGGCTCCCGCCGCATTGCGCAGGTACACAACTAGTTTATTTATAAATATTTTTTATAAATTTAATGAAAAAAATTGGATAGAAATGCAACAGAAACAATTAAAATCCATATTATTTAGACTAGAAGGGTACTCGCGTAATGCAGCGAGATACATCTTGATTTTAATATGTCATTTTATTCTTTATCTCAATCGATGTTATTGTATAGTCTTATGTGATTTTGAAAAATCGATAATGTCTTTATTTTTTAATAAAATATAAATTTGAAGATATCATAAAAAATTCACAAAAATATATCGATATTAATATCAAATTAACTATTTAAATTTCCTATTTATTATGTAATTTTTTAGTTCAAATTTTTTTATTGTAATTTAATTTAGGTTTAATAACGAAGTAATTTATATTTGATTCAATAATATAATTTTTTTATAAAGATAATAATTAATTATTTTGTTAGAACTCGATAATTATTCTAATTATATTTTAGATTTTTTATATTTTAAAATAAGATGTTTATCCTCTAATTGGTTATGTTTATCTGTAGTTAGTTACGCAAATTCAAACATAAATCTTTAATAAGTTGTACTTATGTTGTAATCTTGAATTTTAAGTAATATGCATCAATATATAGTATTTCATGCATTAAAAATGATTTTTAAGAGTTTTTATCAAATATTTTATAATATAGTATAGATTATCATTGATATTACTAAAATTCTAAAATTTCAAAACCAAATTTTTTTCAAAACCATAGAAAATAAAATAAGAGTAAAATTAAATTTCAAATGGATTGATTAAACAAACATAACGGATTTAACACGAAATAGACGGAATCAATTTGAAATAAAATATATGGGGAATGGTGATAAACAGTGACATTTAAGTATAACAACCTACCCTATTTTACGCCCAACTTTATCTCAAAATTCGAATCAAAATGCTTAACCAATTTATAGATAAACTTATTTTAATATAGTATTCTAGTTTATCCTATATTTAAATGTGTTTTATCATTATTTTTATAAAATATATATTAAATAAATTATAAATTTAAATCTTAAAAGATTTTAAAAATACGAAATAAATTTTATACAAATTTTATGGCATTTGAAATTCTTTTATTTAATTATAAATACACGAAATTGACAAATGACCAAATTTGTAGTTTACTCTGATACTTTTTAATTTCTATTAAAATATTTGGTTCTCACAAAATTAGTATCCAAAACGTTATTTTACTGTTTGACGACGACGACGCCGCACTGCTTATTAAATACCCACTGTTCATCGTAGTCATCTCCGGCGATATTTAACGATTTGATGATTACGTTGTAATTTCTACCTCATTTTCTTACGGTCATTCAATTTCCGCCGCCGGCTAATTCTTCCTTGATTCACTTAACAGGTACGAATTTTCATGTTATATGCTGTTCATCAACTGTAAATCTGAATTTTTGATTCATCCACGAACTGCATGTGTAAAATGTAGAAATTTTTTAAGCATAATGACACACCAACTATATAGGTTGATCTAAGTTCAAGTGTCCTTTTGATTTGTTGATAAGTTGCGATGCTGTTATGATCTGTATTGTCATGGAGACAAATGGTGTGTTGCAATGCTGTTAAACCCTAGTTTGTATGTATGGTATAAACTGCTAATGCATTCACTTTTGATGCAATTTTTGCGGTAATACTGTATCGGTTTTTAACAACTGTTATATGAAAATCATTTATTCCCAATTTCTCGACCAGATATTTGTAGATTTCTATTGTAAAACAAGTGTTCTTGATACTAAAAGTTATAATTTGGTGTTGTTAAGTAACATTGCATCTGAATTTTTTAATCCATCGTTTTAAATTTTGATTTATGCACAAATGCAAGAACAGTAAATAGAATGTTTTTAAGCAGATTAGTTTAATCATATGTATATATAAAATCAATTTAATGTTCAACTTTCTAGTTTATTCATCTTTTTTTGAATTTTTAATGACCTGCCATTCATTAGAATTTTTGAATCAGAACAAAAATGTTGAGTTCTAAGGGAGATGGAAATGGTAATGGTGGAGAAGGCAACACCATCCCCAATCTGAAGAAACGATCTTGTGGATGTGTGAAAGATGATTTCTTACCAGAAGAATCATTCAAGAGCTGGTCAAATTATGGAAAAGCCTTACTTCAAACTAAAACACGTCTGAAAGACCGTTTTCTGGCAAGATCATCGGACCAACTTGAACTTAATGATATGAGAGCTCGAAGCCAGAACGAAATGAAGAAAACCCTCAATTGGTTCGATCTCATTTGGTTCGGTATCGGAGCGGTCATGGGTGCCGGAGTTTTCGTCCTCAGCGGTGAAGCTGCCCACGATTTAGCCGGTCCTGCTCTTCTCTTGTCATATCTTATTTCCGGCTTTGCAGCTTTACTCTCTGTCCTCTGTTACACCGAATTTGCAGTCGAACTTCCGGTGGCCGGCGGCTCATTTGCTTACCTGAGAGTTGAGCTTGGTGACTTCATAGCTTATATTGCCGCCGGAAACATCCTCTTAGATTACGTTGTCGCCGGCGCCAGCGTCGCCCGTTCCTGGACGTCATATTTCGCAACATTATGCAACCATGATCCCGATGATTTCCGGATAAACATTACCTCTCTAACCAAGGGTTTCAACCACTTAGACCCGATTGCAGTCGGCATCTCGATGATCATTTGTGTAATTGCATCATTCAGCATCAAGGGTTCATCGAGGTTCAATTCAATTGCGACCATAACCTACATGACTTTAATGGTGTTCATACTCGTGGCCGGAGCTACAAAGGCCAACACCTCCAATTTCCAACCGTTTTCCCCTTTCGGTCTTCGGGGTGTTTTGAAGGCTTCGTCTGTGCTTTTCTTTGCATACGTTGGGTTCGATGGGGTTGCGACGCTTGGAGAAGAAACCAAGAATCCGGGGAGAGATATTCCGGTCGGGCTAGTCGGATCGATGATGGTTGTGATCACGATTTATTCACTTCTAGCGACCGTGTTGTGCCTGATGCAGCCGTACAACCAAATCAACCGAGATGCACCCTTCTCCATTGCATTCCAAGCTGTTGGAATGAATTGGGCGAAATATATAGTTGCTTTAGGTGCGTTAAAAGGAATGACCACGGTTCTGTTGGCTAATATCATCGGTCAAGCTCGGTATTTCACTCACATCGCTCGAACCCACCTGGCTCCACCCATTCTTGCGGTGATACACAAGAATTACGGCACACCCATGACTGCCACCATCGTCATGACCGCCGCAAACTGCCTCGTCGCGTTCTTCACGAGCCTTGATATCCTGGCGAACCTTCTTTCAATCGCCACTCTCTTCATTTTCTCCCTGGTGGCAATTGGGTTGATCGTGAGACGATACTACTCGACTGGGGTGACGTCAGATTCCGACAGAAACAAGCTGATCGCGTTACTGAGTCTGATCATATCTTCGGCTATCGGGCTTTCGATTCTTTGGGCATTGAATGTGAACTTTTGGGAAGGATACGTGATTATGGGTGGGGTTTGGTTTTTTGCCACTTTGGGCCTTCAGTTGACGGTGAAGCAAGCCAGAAAGCCGAAGCTGTGGGGGGTGCCGTTGGTTCCATGGCTGCCGTCGGCGAGCGTTGGTGCTAATGTGTTCATCATGGGCTCGATTGATGGAGCTTCTTTCTTGAGGTTTTTGGTGTGGACTGGTTTGCTGCTTGTGTACTACTTTTTTATTGGGTTGCATGCTTCTTATGATGCATCGAAGGATGATACGAAATTGGTGGTTAATGGCGGTGGAGGTGGCGGAGGAGTGTCGGCAACTTCTGAAGCTGTGGAACTGAGAGCAATAAGCACTAGAAGCACATGAGTTGTCGGTATGTTTACAGTATTGGTCATCTCTATTAATAGTTTTTCTTTTTCTGAAAATCCTAAGTTTACAATGGCATGTAAGTGCAGTACCACCACCATCAGCAGCCATGCCGCCACCATTGTAATATTTGAACAAAGTCGTTTTATCCCTTGGACTGTTGATACTAGTTGCTCGTAATGACTACCATGACTTACGTGACCCTTTCACACACGTTTTTGGTAACTGGTGGTAGAGACTTTTACTTGGTTAATGCGTATCGGATAAGAGATACTTATCATCAATCTTACTATGCGTTTTTGATGACCAAGAATCTTAATAATCTTAAAAGATTACTCGATCAACGTACTACATGAATTAAGGAAGTAATCCAAAACATATTAAAACGCTATATGTCTATATACACACACACATAAATTAAATTGGTTGAGGGGTGATAATGCACAAAGGACCCATTATTTCAACCGAACATAGTTCTAGTCCCGCACCAGTCATTCAAGCCTAAAACTGTCTCCATTCTATAAGGCGTAAGAGCATCTCAACAAATTATCGAAAATCAAGAAAATGGAAATTTTGGACAATTTTTTGTTCCAATAGATCCAAAAGTTTCCTCAAAACAAAGAAAATAGGAGAGAAAGTGTAATATTTTTCAAATTTGACGAATTCTCGTAAATGATTACCGTGCAACAATTTTCTATTATATTTCATCAATGAAAAAACTTGAAATTAAATGTTTTAGAATTTATTTTCTTTTGGATTTTCGATTTTTCCATTTGAACTTTTTTTCGAAAAATGGTGCCGAAATCTAACAGAAGAATTGTTTTTTTTGTTGAAGGATAAATGTGTTATCGTCAAGATGATATGACAATAGAGATAGACATATTAGAGTTAGATTAAAATGATGTATATCATGGTTATCTCTTTGTAACACCTTCCTATTTAAAGGGATTATGTTTAATGAGAATGAACAGTTTTTTCGATTCTGATTTTTCCACAACATGTTATCGACACGTAAACTCATGCATTAGCCCCCGTAAGTACCATTGATGACCATCACTAAACGGTTACTCAGTTTGCTACCGTTGCCATCCTACACTCCAGGAGTCAACACTATAATTTATTTTGATGAGTAAGATTTTAGTACATCAAAACATATTGAATGCAACAATTTACCAGGTAAGCGCTTACCTGGGTAAGAGTTGTAATCTTCACTTAACGGGTAAGACTCTCCATCGTTCTCATCCAGTAAGATTATTGGTCCTTGTCATGTTCATCCGATAAGGAAATTTATTTGGTAAGCACTTACCAAATAAGCGTTTAGCAAACGACATCAAATCCACGCTATATGTATTTAATTTTTGTATATGGATTTCTTAGTGACGAATGACGAGGGTTCAAAATATCATGATCGTTAATTTCTTTAATATTAGATTATGCATTTATTTTCTCATAAAAAATACAATTTATGATCTCACTATGATTTTTTATTATTATATGTTTTCTTTATTATGTCAATCTAAAAAAAACTGTATGAACCACGGTAGATAAGAACCCTAATATCTAAACACTAGAGAAATAGAAACATAAATCAAAACTTGTAGATATACTTAACTGGAATCAAGGACCATAAAACTTGTATTGGAATTCATACACACACTTTTTCATTATTAATAGAGATGGCCAAATGGGTCAAGCCCAAGACCGATTGGGACTGGTTTAAGACCGCTGATTAATGACATGTTATGGTTTTCATCCAAAAACAAGGCCTGGTCCGAGACCGGTTTAGGACCCGTTATAGGCCTAGCCTAGGATCGACCCGATTTTTTCTTCTCCAGAAAAATAGTATTTTAAATGTATTTGATTGAAAATCAAATTACAAATTTACAATAAAACATATTTTTAAGTGTATTTGCTTAAAAACCAATTATAAAACTACAATAAAACATATTTTTAAGTGTATTTGATTGAAAACCAATTATTAAACTATAATAAAACGTATTTTTTAAGTGTATTTGATTGAAAACCAATTATAAAACTACAATAAAACATATTTTTTAAGTGTATTTGATTAACCAAATTAGATATTTTAAAGTGTTTAGAATAACATTAAAGTATTTTAAAAAATTTATCAAAAAGAAATTTAAAAAAGTTATAAAAAGAAAATGTTTTTAAAATATAGGACTGGTTTGGGCACGACCAGGGATCGGGACCGGTTAAAAGTACCCTTAACCGGGCCTTAGTATTCTCGACTAGACCGAGACCGGTCCGGATTGTTACTGTTTCAGCCCAGGACCGATTTAGCTTCGATCCGGGATTGGTTTTTAGCCATCTCTAATTATTAATTACAAATGATCTCCTTGTACCAGTGAAAGTGGATTATATATAAATATCCAATCAATTATAACCAAGAATCTTAGAGATTCAAGATGAACCACAAAGATTGAACCATGTTGAACATGTTTTGAATTGATAAGCTTAATCGGTAAGAACTAAAGTTAAGCAAAAGTTTTTTTTTTCTTCTTCTAATAAGGGTCTGTTCGGTAACAGCTTAATGAGCTGTATAACATGTGTGGCTTATTCTGTAAGCCATACATTGTTGTTCAGAAGTGGCTGATTAGGTCATAAATAGACTTATTCGCTCAGTCGGGTAAAGAGAGTCATATACATACAACCCTTTCATTTTCCATCCCTACCCCTTCCCCTACTGATTAAAAAAAACTCACCAACACCTCTATTGGTCGATCTAAAAATAAAGAAATCTCAATGAACTATGAGAATGCATATGAATTAATGGAAAAAATCATCCATACTCATTGATGATGTATTTGCTTATACTGTTGCTCATGAGATCATATAGCAGGATGACATCAAACCACGCTCAGTTGAAGAATATTAACAAATAGTAGATTGGCCTAAATGGAATGAAGCAATCGAGGAAGAACTAGATTCTTTGGCAAAGAGACATGTGTTTGGTCCAGTAGTGCTAACCCCACGAAGTGAAAAGTTTGTTGGATATAAATGGGTCTTTGTTAGAAAGCAAAATGAGGATAATGAAGTCATAAGATATAAGCCTTATGGCGCAAGTCTTCTCACAATGCCCTGAAATTGACTATGAGGAGACATACTCCCTAGTAATGGACGTAATGACATTCCCCTATCTAATTAGCGTAGTAGTTTCAGAAGGATTGGAAATACAACTTATGGATGTGATTACTGCATATCTCTATGGGAATCTGTTGATCCTCTCTCTCAGTGATTTGATGATAATCCCTTTTTCCTTTCGATGTATTTCTGTATCTGTAATTTCAGTTCCAGCGATCATACACTGAGCTTGTTCAGTGATCGCTGAAGAACTTGTTTTGAAATTCATTCAGAGACAACGATACTTCAAGGAAACAACACTCACACCAAAGATCCTTCAGCAAACGTCGAAGACTGAAACTGAAGATTAGAGACTGGCGCGTACGTGATCTGAAGCGGT